GACGGCAGAAAATAAAATAAAGTATCCCCACAAGGGGAAAGCTTTTTTTCTTCGACCGGCCCAAAGTTTGGGAATGTCGGGAAAAAAAACTTTTGGGAAGGACCTAACATTTTGTAGATTTTTTGTTTTGAAATGCCCCCCCAATTGATAAAACGTTCTATTTTAAATTAACAAAAAAATTCCCCCCCAAAAATTTTTTAATTTTTAAAATTTGGAGATTTTTTTTAAAAAAAAAAACAGAACCCATTTTCGGGGAAATTTTTCCCCGAAGATGCCCAATTTTTAACCTGCTCAAAAATATTTTTTGAAAAAAGTAAAAAATTTACCAAAAAATTTATTTTTCCCAGTAAAATGGAAAAAAATTTTTAAATAGAAATGAAATGGGGCCGTATTTTTTGAAATTAAAAAATCCCAACCATTGTTTATAAATTTAATAACCAAACCTTTTCCCCGAGCGGTAAAAAATTTCAGGTCCAGTGATCTGCTATCACTGGCCGCCGGTAAATACGGTGTTTTTTTTGAATTTTAAGGTTTTTTTTTTTGCTTCAGAAAGTTATAAAAAACTTTCACTTTTAAAATCACCATAACATACTAAAGTTATTGGGCCAAATTTCAAAGGGTAAAAGATTAATCCTATAAAATTTTTTTTATGCAAAGTTATGCCCCATTTTTACTTTAATGTCAAGCCCTGCTTCCGCTAACCATTTTTTTTGTTGACAACCCTTTTTTTCTCAATTAAACTATTGAAAAGGCTATTTACATGTACTTCAAAATTTTTAAAATACATGTTCAAAACTATCAAAATATGGCCACCTTTTCAGAACAGTAAATCAAAAAATTCCTTACATTTCATTTTTGAAAAGTTAAATGCCTCCTTTATACAAAAATTTTTAAGGGGTCAATTTCTAAAAAAAATTTCAATGTTAATCCCCTTTTAATTTTTGGAAAAATTGGGTTTAAAAATTTAAAAATTTTAAAATGCTTTTTTAAAGGGCCCGGGAAAACTTTTTATCTTTTTACTAGTTTTTTTTTTCCGGAGTTTTTGCCCTTTTTTTTGGGGTTAAAACCAATTTATTTTGGAAAAATTTTTTCAAAAAAAAAAATAAAGATTTCCCCCCCTTTTTAAAACTGGGGGAAAACTTTGGTCCCCCCTTAAAAAATGTTTTTTTTAAGGGGGAAAGATAATCAGACGGCCATTTTTTTTTAAAATTAAAATTTTCCCTTTTTTTGACGGGGGAAATATTTCCCTTTTTAACCCAAGGCTTTTTAAAAAAAATTTCATTTTAAAAACCCTTTGAAAAAATATTTGTTGACTTTTAATAGAAAGGTTAGCCCCTGCAAAATTGTTTGCAAAAAATTTTCCCCCTTTTTTCTATTGGTTTGGCCTTTTTTTTTTTTCAACTAATGTATCTAGTACGGAGAAAAGCGAGTGTGCTAATCCCACGGGACAAGACTTTTGTTTTTTAAAAGAACTGCTCAACATTTTAGACATAAAGAATACCAGTAACAGGTTTGTACTGATATCTTCAGCAAGTGAATTCCAAACTGTTATTTTTTTGGTCTGTCTTTTCCTGGTACCCCAAGGTTTATAAAGACATTTTCTCAGCCTTAAACCCTCTGAATGATGAACTGAAATCTCAGGTATTTAATTGGTAAGAAAACAGCCAACAGAAATTAACACTGTCCAATGAAAATCCTGAGATTAAGAAATTGGGCTCAGAAAAAAGTTTTAAATAACATTGAGACAAGTAGTTGAGAAATGAGATGTAATTGAATTTTTATCCTCACGGCTCAAATTAAAACAAAACCAGCCATAAATTTGACTTTTAATGGCATTATCAATTTTACATCTTACCTGTTTTACAGTATTTTAAATTTCAATCTTTTTTTTTTTGGTTTAACCCTTTTAAAAAATTTTTTTATTTTATAGAATAATATAACACTCAAGGCTCAGGGAAATATTTAAAAAACTTTTTTTTTAATTTTTTACAAATTTCATTCCCCAAAAAACCCCGTTTAAATAAAAAAGAAAAAAAAATAACGTCCCCTTTTTTAAGAATTTTGAAAAAAAGGGTTTACCCGAAACCCAACAGACCCCAAAAAAGGAAAAGGGCCCTTTGGGCCCCAGTATAGGGGAAATATTTTTAATCCAGCATGTCCCAAGTGAAAGGTTTTTTTTGTTTTAAATTACTTTAAAATTTGCAGTCGCAATTCCCCTTAAACCCTTAAAAGCAGTAATGGAAAAAAAGTCTTTCTTAATTAAAAAAGGAGTTTTAAAACAGGTTAAATTTCAAATAAGGGAAAAATAAACCAAAAATCCCTGAAGTGAAATCATGTTACTTTTTTTTCAGGGGAAAGGGGTTTTTTTAAATAAATTTAAATAAATTTCCCAAAAAAACAAATTTTGGGTAAACTATTAAACATTAAAAAAAACATAAAGTTTTTCTTTATTCTGAAAAAAAACAAATGTAAAAAATTTATGTCCCTGGAATATGGGAAAATTTCAATTTAGCAAAATTTAAATTTTAAAACCCCAAATTTAACCGTACCTTTTATTTGAATTTTGGGGTTAGAAAAAAGTGCGCCCCCGGAAATGGCACGGGGAAATTATGCCCGCCGGGGAAAAAAATTTTATTTTCTTTTTTAAAAAAGAAAAAAACGAAACCATAAAACAAATTAACTGATTCCATTTTTTTTGATTTTTAAATAAAGGGAATAAATGCCCCTTAAAATTTTTTAAAAAAAAAATGAAATTTTATTCCCTTTTTCTTGTTTTTTTTTTAAAAGTTCCCCCCCCCCCCAATTTAAAATTTTTTTGCAAAATTTTATATGCTTATTGGAAGCCTACTTTCACATTAAAAATTTTAAAAAAATTATCTTTAAAAAAATGTAGACATCACTTATAAAAAATAAAAAATGTATGTACCAAAAATATAAATTTCATTGGGCATTTTTTTTTTTATAAAAAAAGTATGGGGATAATAGAAGAAATTGGGGATAAAAAAGGGGTTTTTAGTTTTAAAAAGGGAACAAATACATGTAAATTTCACCAAAAAAATTTTTTTATTAAACTTAAATTTTTTTCAAAGGGATATTCCTCCTAAATTTTTAATTTTTAAAAACTTTTAAAAAGATATATAAAAAGTTTTTGCAATGTAAAAAAAATTTTAAAGCATTTTTTTGTTTTAATTTGGGAAAAAAAATTTTTTAAAATTTTCCCCATAAACAAAAAAAAATAGCACATAAAAAAATTCTTTCATGGGTTAAAATTTTAAATTTTACATAACCCCAAAATTAGCTTGTTGGTTTTTTGAAAAAAGTTTTTTAAAATTTTTATTGAAAAAAAACACAATTTGGGCCTGAAAAATTTAAAACATTTCATTCCCATTTTATAGAAAAAAATCATTTCCTTTTTTTTTAAAAAAAATTTAAATTTTTAAAAGGGGGAAAGGGTGCAAAAAATTTCAAGGGAAAAATTTAAAATTGAGAAAAAAAAAAATTACAAAGTAAATAATTTTTAAAAAAAAAAAAATATTCAATATTTAAAAAATTTAAATTTTTTCCGTTAATTTTGCATTTTAAAAAACTGATTTTTTTCAATTTAATCCCAATTTCTTTTTTTAACTGTGTGAAAAAACCCCCAGTAAATTAAAATTTGGTTTTTAAACCGATAAGTGCCTTTGTTAACTTCCCCAAAAATTTTTATTTTTTTAAAAAAAAAATGTTACATTGAAAAAAAATTCATGGAAATTAACATGAATCTTTGGAGGCATGCTGCTTTAAGTTCCAAGATGAGTCAACAAATTTCTAGTTAAGGACTAAACTCTAAGTAACAAGTTTACAAAATGTGCAAATATTTAAGATTCAAGTGTGTACCCAATGTAACTAAAGTAATGTAACTAAAGTTAAGATCTTCTTATGCTTACATCATATTACATTATTTAGGAGCTGACTTACACAGATCTACTTGTTTTCTTCAAATTATGACTAAATTTACAATTTTCATATAACAGGTACATCCTATTAACTATGGAGTTAGAGTTATACCTACATATTTCAATACATTAAAATATAACTTCTGTGGATGATAAAGTCTGTAAGCTTCATTTTGTACACTTCATAAAAGTTGTTAAAATTCCTAATTTTCTAAGTGTTGTAAAAAGTAGCATGAATCTGGAGATGAGCTACTTTAAAATGGCACTACTAATGAATGTATACAAACACACAGTCACAATTATAAGTATTTTTTGTTGATTGTGTTTTATATAACAAATGTAGGATTATTTTCCCTTTTGTCTCCCTGCATCAATACTTTTTAATGTTGGTAGACCATTGGGTAACTGTATGTAGCTGCTTTCATTTATCATTATTCTTTCTGCTTCATCTGAAACAGGTTGTATAGATGTATTGTGAGCATATTAAAAGATATACATATTTTACAAGTATAAACCATTATTTTATAAGAATACCAAATTTAAAAATGAACAAATATATCTCTTAGAACAAAGTGCCATATTCTGCCAAAAATGATTAATCACAAAACCCAAACAATTAGCACAAGGGCACTTGGTGAAAATAATTCTAAGACAGTTTGGTTGAAACTCCTTGCACACGGAAGAAATTTTAAACTCCCACTCATCCTTGAACATTAAAATTTACTTATCTAATAACCAGTATTTTTTTCTACTTAAAAACTGGTTATAAACAGGGGCAATAACTGTGAATATCTAGCAGTAAAAGTTACCTCTACATCTTTGCATCTTGGTACTGTAAGCTAAGTCATACTGATAGCCTAGTATAAAACCAAAGGGAACCAGTGGTACTAATGCTGCCGGGTTCTTTTTCTTCGCAAAACTAATCAAATAAAAAAACACCATAAATATCAACAATAGATAATATCAATATCAATGATGAATAAAATATCAAAACATTTAATCAAGAATTTTTCAAAATGAAAGTTGATTGTCTCTTATAATTGAATAAAATCTACAAAATTCTCTATGAACAATGTTAACATCTCAGACTTTGTTTAATATCATGTGTCCTGTGATATACATGTATATGAGATGGCTTTTTAATAATGCAAGTCTAGGATAAACCAATATGGCCATTATAATATTATGAAATCTGCACTTATAAGATTAAATCTGATGTCGGTAGAGTCGACGAAGTATGACAAAATTAATATTATAAGATCAATAATTCCAACAATGTTTAATTTGAAAGAAAAGAATAATAAGCTATGAATGTTACCAGTATATAACTGTCTAAAATCAGAACTTCTGAAAAAGCTTCATTGTACAAATTTTAACAGCAAAGGAAATATTTACCCTGCAATTCCCATTACAGCAATGGTTGTGTAGAATGCACACCACCACTGAAACATATCTCGAGATCTTGCTAACATCATGGCCGCCTGACGTTCACGCATCTGATTCTGCATTTGTATTTGTCGCTCCAACTATAAATGAAATACAAATGCTTGTTAAAGTCTTAGTTGTTAACAAATTCAACAAATAGTTCACAATGATTCTTAATAAGTGGTGACTGATATTATTTTTTATAAGCATCAAAAGCATGCAGCTTTCAACATTGACTCATTTAGCTTTTTACCATTTTTTGTGGTATTTTTGAAAATTTGGCAACCTGTAAAGGAAACAAGTACTGTCGGTAGGACAGCAACGCTCGATTATTCTCAGTGCTTGATAGTAACTAAGCTTTGATAATGTACAATTTTCTAAGTTAACAAAAGGGCAAATTTGTCTTTTAAAAAAATCCATGTGACAGTTATAGGTCTTGAAGGGAGTCCTAGTATGCTCTCTAAAAAGAGTATAAAATTTCAACTTGTTTCAAAGCCAGATGTCAATAGAATATGAAAATATCTGAGGTGGTACATGTATGCAAACTTAAATGTAAATTCTTATGTAAATTGTAAAGCTTCATAGAGTTACCTCCTCCTGTCTACAGATTGGGGTCATGATGGTGAACAAGTGTGCAAAGTTTCAAAGCCATATGTCAATGTATTTAAGTTATTACAATAACTTTAAAGTAAATTCTTAGTCGAAAAAGGGGCATAATTCTGTCAAAATACTTGATAGTTACCCCCACCTGTCTACAGGTTGGGGTCATGATGATGAACAAGTGTGCAAAGTTTCAAAGCCATATGTTGATGGACTTTGAAATTTTTTGAGGTATTACAAAAACTTAAAAATAAGTGGTTACTCTGGCGCAGACGCTCGGGTGACTACAATAACTCTACTTATTCTTATCAAATAGTTGAGGTAGAAAGAATAATGATTTTCATCCTCTTATTACCCCCTTTTACAGATCTGACATTAAAGGTACATGCATTATCATTAAATTTGTTATTTATCTCTGAGGCTAACTTTTCAACATGCTTTCTTCATACTTTTACATCTTGTTCTTCTGGTGAATATTTATCTGTCCTTTAATAGCAGTTTCAGATTTTAGATACCAAATTTTGTAATATCAAAGTAAGCAGTTCACAGTATACAGCTTTGTTAGATTACACCATGCAGGCTGATCTGGCTCAAAAACTGGTGACAAAGGTAAATACTAATCATTTTTAGTTTCAGCAATTTAAGGATTTCAGGACATTTTCACCCTATCATCATGGGTTGAAATAAGACCACATTCCCAGTCTAAATAAAAGCCTCTTTTAATAAAAGAAATACCAACACCTGCCCAAATAATATTCCTACCTCAGAGAAAAATTGAACTGTTTTGACAGATTTCTTAAAGGAAATGGCAGGTTATATGATTATATATATCATAACATGTTACAAACCTTCCAGTCATTTATAAGAAATTTAATTTCTCAAATTTCCCGAATTAAATATCCAATATTTTATCTAAGTGCAAGGGGCCTTTTCCAAAAATTGCTGGAATAGACACTGGGTATAATAGTTTGACTGAGAGACGAGAAGATATTTTATATATAAGCTTTCATAGCTACATGTATCTGACCAATCCTTACATGCATTAAATAAATGTATTCATGCTATGAACTGATTAACTTTGTTTAAACTAATAATTTGATTACCATTTCTGACTGACTTTTCTCCATAAACACTTGTTGCTTCTTGAAATTCTCTTCCATGACCTTACCAACCACTGAACCCATTGTTCTGTCAGTTACTACTGTAATATACAAGAAAAATTCATCAGGTTAATAGTTAAATAAGGTATTCTTGATTTTTTGTTATAGCCAGATTCTGACAAAAATCAAAAGTATCTTTGAATCTGTTCAAGACGTCAAATTACTTTGACATGGTAAAAAGATGGCATGATGAAAAACTTTCTACAAACATTTTCTCTCATTGTACACTCATGTGAGTAAACACAATCATTAAGATAGTCTATCTATGATTCACATTGATTTTGCATCAAAACCTTGAGAAGATATATTTTAACTTTAGCTAATAAATAAATAATTCTACTTAAAAGTTTCATCAATGTTATTCCAATTTACATGTAACATAACATAAACTTTATTTCGCATTAAACATGTTTACAATAATATTAAACTAATATGTTGCATAATAATATATCTATGCTAATAATTCTTTCCTTCATAATGTTCTGTTTAAAAAAAAAATAATTAAGCACTTTTAAATTGTAACCAAAGCCCAATATCCCCTGGAAAAGTCATTGTCAATGGGGCATTCATTGCTTAATGACCAACAATGCAAGTTTAAAACATATCCACTCCATATCAAACAAGCAGTGTGTGGACAGATGGATCATGCCTCCTATAATCTCCCCCCCCCCCACTGCCATTGCCCCTCCTGAAATATGAGATACATGTTCCAAAATAACTGTTGTTTAGGCTTAATAGGGCAGCTAAGGAGATTTTAGTTAAAGATATGAAACTAAAATCAATATCTTTCAGTAAACAAAATCTTAACTGACCTTTTAAAACCTTTGATTTTAGCAAATTGTTATTCATTCTATTTGTAACTCTTTGCATATATTTTGCTGGATTTTGCATATAATTTAGTTAGAAACAGATAGCTTTGGAAATTAGGAAATAGATCAATTGCATGTTGCATCTACTGTGTAGCAAGAGGCACAAAAATCATTAACAGAGCAAAACATGTTTTTCATTCAAGTGGTATAACTTAGCCAAAATCATTTAACTGGAAAACCCGTGTAATGTCTGCAAGTACTTGAACTACTGAATAGACCTGTAAAGTTTCATTGACATTGCATCAGTGGTATAAGAGAAGTACTTTGAACAAATTTTTAAATAAAAATCATTAAAGGGCAATAACTCTGACAAAAAAAACCATTCAAGTAGAAAACCTGCATCACACGAGCAAGAACATGAGCTACAAATCAATCCTATTAAGTTTCACTGAATTTGCATTAGTGGTATAAGAGAAATAGTCTGGACAAACTTTATTAACACCCTTTTCATTCAAGTGCCATAACTTAGCCAAAAATCATTCAAGCCAAAACCCTGTATTACACCCAAGTATTTAAGCTACCAGTTAATTCTGTAAAGTTTCATTGAAACTGCATAAGTGGTAATGGAGGAGTAGTCTGGACAAACTTAAAAAATTAAAAAGCAATTAAAGGGCCATAACCCAGACAAAAATCATTGAACCATACAAAGACAATGACAAGTACAACTAGACATGGCATACTTATCATTCCTGTAAGGTTTGAATAAAATTGCAACAGTAGTTTTTGAGGAGTACATAATCCGACAAGCTTTTGTGTAGCTGGAAACACAACAAGAGCTGTCGGTAGGACAGCAACGCTCGACTATTCTTAGTGCTTGATAGTAAAAAAAATGCTTGATACAGTTACCTCCTCCTGTTAACAGGTTGGGGTCATGATGTTGAACAAGTGTGCAAAGTTTCAAAGCCATATGTCAATGGACTTTGAAAATATTTGAACTATTACAAAAACTTTAACGTAAATTCTAAGTCGAAAAAGGGGCATAATTCTGTCAAAATGCTAGATAGAGTTACCTCATCCTGTCTACAGGTTGGGGTCATGATGGTGAACAAGTGTGCAAAGTTTCAAAGCCATATGTCAATGGACTTTGAAAATATTTGAACTATTACAAAAACTTTAACGTAAATTCTAAGTTGAAAAAGGGCCATAATTCTGTCAAAATGCTTGATAGAGTTACCTCCTCCTGTTTACAGGTTGGGGTCATGATGGTAAACAAGTGTGAAAAGTTTCAAAGCCATATGTCAATGGACTTTGAAAATATTTGAACTATTACAAAAACTTTAACATAAGTGGTTACGCTGACGCCGACGCTCGGGTGACTACAATAGCTCTACTTATTCTTATCGAATAGTCGAGCTAAAAATAAACTTTGTGGTGGACAGAAAGACAACAGAAAAGTGATCCCTATATCTCACCACTACTCTGTAGGGACAGTGCACTTACTAGTCCAATATATCAAATGTTACAGGCTTGTTATAGTTTATGTTGATCAAGCCTGTTGCTTTGCCCAGAAGCAAAAATATCTCAAAGCGACCATTTTCAACGTCTATGCAATTACCCCAGGCCTCTTAATTTTTAATTGGTATATTATTTACTTTTTAAAAAGGTATTGTTGATCAGAAAGAACAATATAACTTACAAGATATACCCTAACATTTGCTACTTGCTAAACAACTGTACCACTAACATTTATACCTAATCAGTTAATTTAGACAACTGTCGTGTAAAGCCCAAGGTTAAAAGACGGGACAACATGTAAATGTTATATGTATTACCTGTTTACCAGAGACATAGATAACTATGTTATCTATGTCTCTGCTTTTTACACCTCTAAGAACTAATTCAACATAGAGCACATAATGTCATCTCTGATTCAACATAAATAACTCAGAAAAATGAATATGTTAATATCAATATTACAATTTTTACACTGTTTATTTATAAAGGTTAAAAGGTAGGACACTTTATGAATTAGATAAATATGAAAAAATAATGTCATAACATCAATGCAAGTATTAAAGAACCTATCGATTGAACTTTAATACGCAATTTGGAATAAAGTGTTGTAAATACTATACCTTTATTAGTGTTAAACAAACTATATTTATAAAATCTGTACTGTAGCTCGTCCTTTGCTGAGTCCGAATGCGCTTGATTAAATCATAGCAGACTTTGCCCGGTCAAAATTACAGTAATACACTGTAATGTACTGTTTATTGATTTGCCTTTGATATTCCTTAAACTGAATTTGAATAAATTTAGGCCACTAAAAACCTTTTTAATTAATTGGAACCAAGATCCATGCTTAGCTTCATGTAGCCACAAACCTTGCATGCATTTGTTTCTAATTATGTAATCGGTTATCTATTTTGTAAAATTTGTTCCAAATCATGAATCAAACACAATGTGACTCTTCAACATGGAGTATTCCGGGAAAATTAAATAAATTTATGTTTTGGCAATTATATGGGTTATTGGCATTGATTCAATGTTTTTTTTTGCTTTTATCTTATGATTTATGTTTAAGCATCAATCAAAAACCTTAAATATGTAAAAAATATAGTTAAATGATATGTCATATATTTTCGCGATGGGTCTGTTTAGGTGAATTTTCAATTAGCAAGGTAAACTGTCTATTGAACATTACTAATTACCATTTTATAATTAAAATTATGTTAAACTTGTTTTCATGGTAGATCTAATACAATACAATAAACTGATCTCTTATGTTAAGCTTGTCTTGACTAAGTAATAGGATGCATCAGTTTTTAACCTGTTAACTCATACATACTGTATGCAAGGTCATTTGGTTAATCTTATTTTGGTAAGTTAAAGAAAATTAATGATCTTTTATAAATGGTATCATATCAACATATCATTTGATGGTTTTTTTCGTTGGAGATGGAAAGAGAGATATGTAATGAGTTTAAAATTCTTGTATAAATGAAAAATTAAGATGGAGTGTCTTTACATGTACCTATCTAAAATTTTAATGCTTTATTTTGATTTGAAAGCTTCCCAACTATGTTTTTTATTTCCAGAATTCTTGAATTCACTGAAGCAGGTAAAATGGTGTTACATAAGTTACAGCATGTGGGGCGTAGAATGTTTTCCAAGTATTTGTTAGTTACAAATACAGCTACAGCATCTAGTTTACTTGCACTGGGAGATTGTATTATACAACATATTGAGAAGATGGACAACAAAGAAAAATCATACAACTTTCAAAGGACAGGTAAACTGAGGACATTTTTAGAAAAATGGAACAGGTTTGAAAAGTTGATGTAACAATATGGTAAAATGAATATTTCAATACATGTATATATTGAATAAACCACATCCATATTGCATTATAAATGTGTTTAAAATTTTAATCTTGGGTACTGTCAAATAAGATTTAAGGTTCTTGAAGTGATCATCTTTGACCTGTTTGAGTTTTTATTTGCACTGTTGCTCTTAAACATAGAAGTTTCTGATCTAATATAGTAGGCAGGATACCAGACCAGACTTGTTAGTTTGATTTTCATTTGCATGTTTCTGGTGTAAATTAACCAATGACTAAATTCTAATTTTTATATGTGTATAAACCATGTTTCCTTTAAGTGAAACATATTCATTGTACTGATAACTGTAGTTACAGTATATAAAGAGAACTGAATGTGTTTGATTTAAGTTGAAAGTACTTGAAATGCATTGTACAATCAAGCTTTAATACATGTATATTATGCATATTTATCTATATATTACAGGTAGAATGTTCACAATGGGATTCCTGTTTGGACCAGTGTCACATGTATGGTATAAGATATTAGATAGGTATCTCCCTGGTGCTGGTTTACGTACTGTAGCCTGTAAAATACTTGCTGATCAAACTGTGGCAGGACCATTCTTCTGTTCAGCTTTCTTTATGGGTTTGTAAATACCATATTATTAATTAAGAAATAACATTGGCCTGAGAGGTGTATATCGGCTATTTAACACCGGTTTGGAGTTTTGATGTGTAGGAATTGACCACGAAGGCCGTAGGCCTGAGTGGTTAATTTTTTTCACATAAAAAAGACAAAACCGGTGTTAAATAGCCAATATACACCTCTCAGGCCAATGTTATTTCGATTCTATCAAGATAAAATAAGGAAGATCACTAATGTTATTTTTTCAAGCGGAAATAACTTCTGGTTCCGATTTTCGCATAATGCTGTTCGATTTTTGCACCCTACTGTTGCAAAGATATAGAAATTATAAAACAAAATAAATAATGAGAAAAAATGTTTTTTATCAAGTTTTCAACAATAAAAACTTACCTTGTATTGTGTTTACATCAGTGCCCCATTTATCATTCTTGTATGTATGAAATAACGTCAGCTTGTTTATGAATGAGTTGTTTACTGACGATGACTTCATTACGCTGCTTACGGATTGGCACCGTTTTGTCAAAATATCTATTAACTGATATGGATCAAATATGTGGCTTTAGTGTATGTTAGTGTACATTATTTCATTATTGTATGAAAAGAAAACATTATAAGAACTGAAAATATAAATAAAAATGCTTTTTATTGATGCTTTAAAGGTTTTGTAAACTATATAATCGAGGGTGAAAACATAAAATCCGCATAAACAAGTAGTCCCTAACCAGTGTTTATTGGCAGTTTAACACCGTTTTTTTTTTCTTTCTTTGTCTACATGAATAGTGACAAAATCAGGTGGAGTGATAGAACTGATGATATCTTTTGTGAAACCTTGACTTGCTGAATTTAAATAATGCATTTTTCCTTTCACTTGTAATACTGTTCAGAATTGGAACACTTTTTCTAAACAGGAGAGAACACTAGAAAAGTTTTTACAATGTTTCACTTTTGTAACTTTGAATGTGAAAAAGAAAAAAAAACCATCAAAGATTTTCAATTCAAATTGAAGAAGTTGCTTGTTCAATTAAGTCTGCAAAGCACTTTAGTAGAATACTGCCTTTGCAACATCGCTTTTATTACATGTATACTATCCATCGCTGAGACAAGTGGAGCTTTCTGTCGGCATACAGATCTGGTATTACGGCTGCCTGTATTTAAAAGCATTTTTAGCTAAAATATTAGCAGAATAATCGAGCTAATGCAGTCACCCATTTGTCGGCGTCGGCGTCCCGTGGTTAAGTTTTTGCGTGTAAGCTGGTATCTTTATAACTACTGAAGGGAATGGATTGAAACTTCACACACTTGTTCTCTGTGATTATCTAAGATGATTGGCACAAGTCCCATAACTCTGATTTGCTTTATTACATAATTATGCCCCTTTTTCGACTTAGAAATTCTTGGTTGAGTTTTTGCGTGTAAGTTGGTATCTCCATAACTACTGAAGGGAATGGATTGAAACTTCACACACTTGTTTCCTATGATTATCTAAGATGATTGGCACAAGTCCCATAACTCTGATTTGCTTTTTTGCATAATTATGCCCCTTTTAGGACAATTTTATGTATTCATATAGGTAAGCATTATTATACTCAATGAAACACCCTTGTGACAACTTTTTGAATAGTCGAGCGTTACTGTCCTCCAACAGTTCTTGATATTTATATTTTTGATCTTAGGTATGTCACTTTTAGAAGGAAAGTCTAGACAAGAAGGTATGGAAGAAGTCAAAGCCAAGTTCTGGACAGTTTATATGGTATTACTTTTATTTTCTGATATATTTACATCAGAAAACATTGTTCATTTCATTTTAATTGTTTGCATGATTTCACTTTAACTCCCTTTGTGCTTGTGGCAAAATGGCAGACCAGCTTCCACATAAAGAGGATGGTTTTGAACTTGTATTACATAAAAAAGGAGTTATAGCTGTTTGGCAGCAAGTCATTGATCTGTGTAGTTTCACACATTGTTTAAGTTAGGCTCCATATGCCACTTAATTACATTGCATGAAAGAGTTTTATGGAATATTCCATGGTCTCTGCTGTATGAACAGTCTTGTAGACATTTCTTAATTCTTAATAAGTGAGCTGTGGTTAAGGTGTTTGCCTCTCAACCCAGGGATCATGGGTTCGAAACCTATTCGGGTCATGACCATGTTTTTTCATATGACACCGGGAAGTATAAATAACAAATTATAGAAAACTTAAAATGACTGATACAAATTAAGTCAATGCAAAAGTAAAGCATGTTTTTTTTTTTTTCAGCTTGACTGGTGTTTATGGCCTCCTGCACAATTCATTAATTTTTTCTTCCTGCCACCAAATCTGAGAGTTGTTTATGTTTCTGGGATAACACTTGTTTGGAACACTATATTATCATGGATGAAACATAAGGTAAGTCCAGTGACTGTTGTTTAGTTTGGCTCAACTCCTCTTTGTGCCAGTTGGAATAAGGAGTATGGCTTCTTATGCAAGATTTTATCTGTTTTTAGTAACTAAGAAAACAATTAAATATTTATATTTCATATCTGGTGGAAAAATATACGACTAGTTCATATTGCAAATGTGTAATGGCTTAATTGCTACATGTAGATGCATAATCAGACATGTCAAACAATATAACCAATATAACTTACAATAGATTTAGTTCATATAATCGGGGCGTCCGTGGCCGAGTGGTTAAGGTCGTTGACTTCAAACCACTTGCCCCTCACCTCTGTGGGTTCAAATCCCGACAGGGACTTTGAATTCTTTCATTTGAGGAAGCTATCTAGCTAGCTAAAGGAACGTCATTGGTTCTACTCGGGTACCCGTTAGTGCCTGAAATAATGCACAGAAGGGCACCTGAGGTCTTCCTCCACCAGTAAAGCTGGAATGTCGCGATATGACCTATACTGTGTCGATGTGACGTAAAACCCCCAAAAAACCCAAACAAGTTCATATAATCAAAACTGATAAGCAGAGCCCCAGATAAGCTGCGGATTTGCGTAAATACACAATTACAATGTAGTAAAATCAAATAAAAAGTTAAAAATTCAGTTAAATATTGTAAATACCCAATTAATTTTTGATAGGGGTGGGTATAATCTTATTACTTCTGAAAGCTGATTTGGAGCTATGTGATAAGATTATTTCATTATGACACAATATATAAATAGTTTGTTGGAGTTCTTATCAGTTTTGTCTTGTGTATAAGTTAAGGATACATTCTGATTAGATATTAGAAGTGTTTAACATAAACACCTGGTTACAGTTAGGTCCACAGTATGACAAGTGTAACCTGTACAGTACTACGGTACAAATATTTTCTAAATATCAACAATTAAAAGTTCATATTGGAAAATGTTCGGAATAAAATATAAATTTTTCTAAAGTATAAAAAGAATGCTTCACTCTTTTTTTAAAAATGAATGTTACAGGTAAATTCTTGGGCCACATGACTTATTTATCATTCATGCAAATTTATTTATGAAATTGAAAGGAATTGAGGCACAATGTAACTTATTTTGATTTTCACTTGTTCACTCACTGCATATCATTGGATGGACATAATGTCCTTGAATGAATGTAAATTTGTTTGATTGAATTATAAGGAGGGATTATCAAGAGCAGAATCTTATAATTATTCAAAATCATATTGTTTTGCTAGATCTAGACATTTGTGTTAAAGTTAAATAGCTTAGAATCTATCATTAAATTTTATCTTTTATTTGCTAGAAAATATGAGAAATGTTGAGGTGAAGAATATTTTATTTATAATATAGTCTACATTAAATCATTTACTTAAATATTTCAGGAGCAACATGTGGAGACTGAAGTGAAACAGAGCTAGAAGTAAATTAAAGGATAATCAAATATTTATACCCCTGTCTTTCATAATACAGTCCAATTTTGTTTGCCCCAAACCATTCCCTTATATTTATTTTTGTTAGATTTCTGGTTATACTGACATACCTAAAGGTCATATTGTAATTTCTGCTTTGCAAATACCAGCCAATACCAAAGTACATTAGGTGCCCTACTGTGCTACATGTATTTCAGGCACAAGACTATATTTGAGTAGACAAGCAGACACTTTGTTAGTTAACTGGGTAGCTTGCTTTTCCAAATGAGTTTTTTTATCCCTGTTTGATAATACATGCATTAAGATAAATCTGAGTATCAAAATGCTATGTTATGGCTCTAAAAATGTTTTAACTTAATGTAATTGATATTTTTTATTCAAATTAAATGTTGCAGAAATAATGCATAAAGAGGTTTCAGTTATCTAATTTCACTAGTTCAATATGCCCTTAGTACACTATAGTATTATTGTGACTTAGAACCCAATCTTAAAGGGACTCCACTGAGGTTTTTTTGACATGATGGGACTGGAAATAATTTTTCAAGACTAATGTTTCATTTGATGTAGGTCTAGGTGCAAAATTGCAGATCAATTGCCCAAATATTCTTATTTGAAAAATTACTCGAATCCACCAAATCGGGCTAAGAATAGCACATAAATACAATTTTCAATTTTTTTCCTGGTATATTTTGAATTATCTTTTGCACATCTCCCTGTTTTATAGGCCTTATTTGATTTATGTCTGAATTTCAAAATTTATGTTTTTTTTAGGGATTGGATCTCAGTGGAGTTCCTTTAATTACATTTCCCCTCTCACCTCCAGTTGAAATTTATTGATTAGTCCCAACAATGGGTAAAAGTAAAAATTACAGGCTTAGCTAACCAGTTGAAATAAGTAAGATACATGTCGTTTTATTATTTTTCATTTTGACTGTTGTACAAGCAGTTTACCACGACCTCTAATTACAATGTAATTAAAGTCCGCAATTTTAGAAACTGACTGATTTCCTAAAGATTAAAGTGTGTAATTTGTTAATGCTGAAATATAAAGAATCTTAGCCTTACCAATATGATGTGTTCATGAAAGCTACATACTAGATCTCTCCATGTTTTAGTACTGTCATAATTTGGTAAAAACTCCTTAAACTGGAATGCTTGACCATCATAAATTACATTTTTAGAGAGGATTCCGGATTGCAGAGTTTTACTCTTTTGGCAATGAAAATGTAATTGTCCCCCGCCTTTTCGAAGAAAAAAGGGGGATATAGAAATAGGCTCCGTCCGTCTGTCCGTCCGTCCGTCTGTCCGTCCGTCTGTCACACTTTCGTGTCCGGTCGATAACTTTGTCATTTATGAAAGGAATTTGAAATAACTTGGCACAAATGTTTATCATATTAAGACGATGTGTCATGCGCAACAACCAGACCCCTACCTCCAAGGTCAAGGTCACACTTGCTCATTCAAGGTCAACATTGCCTATTTGAGGGTATATGTCGTGTCCGGTCCATAACTTTCTTATCTATGAAGGGATTTTGTAAATACTTGCCATAATTGTTCACAATAATCAGACGATGTGTCATGCGCAAAAACCAGTCACCTACCTTCAAGGTCACACTTGGAGGTCAAATATTAACATAGTCTGTTACAGGGTATATTTGGTGTCCGGTCCATAACTTTGTCATTTATCAAAGGAATTTGAAATTACTTGGCACAAATGTTTGTTATAATAAGACGATGTGTCATGCACAACAACCAGACCCGTACCTTCAGGGTCAAGGTCGTACTTGCTCATTCAAGGTCAACATTGTCTATTTGAGGGTATATGTCGTGTCCGGTCTATAACTTTCTTATCAATTAAGGGATTTTGAAAATACTTGCCATAATTGTTCTTAATAATCAGACGATGTGTCATGCGCAAAAACCAGTCACCTACCTTCAAGGTCAAGGTCACACTTGGAGGTCAAATATTAACATAGTCTGTTACAGGGTATATTTCGTGTCTGGTCCATAACTTTGTCATTTATCAAAGGAATTTGAAATTACTTGGCACAAATGTTTGTTATAATAAGACGATGTGTCATGCACAACAACCAGACCCGTACCTTCAGGGTCAAGGTCGTACTTGCTCATTCAAGGTTAACATTGTCTATTTGAGGGTATATGTCGTGTCCGGTCTATAACTTTCTTATCTATGAAGGGATTTTGAAAATACTTGCCATAATTGTTCACAATAATCAGACGATGTGTCATGCGCAAAAACCAGTCACCTACCTTCAAGGTCAAGGTCACACTTGGAGGTCAAATATTAACATAGTCTGTTACAGGGTATATTTCGTGTCCGGTCCATAACTTTGTCATTTATCAAAGGAAGTTTAGATAACTTGGCACAAATGTTTGTTATAATAAGACGATGTGTCATGCGCAACAATTAGACCCGTACCTTCAGGGTCAAGGTCGTACTTGCTCATTCAAGGTCAACATTGTCTATTTGAGGGTATATGTTGTGTCCGGTCCATAACTTCCTTATCTATGAATGACTTTTGTAAATACTTGCTATAATTGTTCACAATAATCAGATGATGTGTCATGCGCAAAAACCTGTCACCTACCTTCAAGGTCAAGGTCACACTTGGAGGTCAAATATTAACATAGTCTGTTACAGGGTATATTTTGTGTCCGGTCTATAACTTTTTCATTGATCAAAGGATTTTGAAAATACTTGGCACAAATAGTCACTATAATAAGAAGATGTGTCATGCGCAACACCTGCATCCCTACCTCGAAGGTCAAGGTCACACTTAGAGGTCAAAAATTAACATAGTCTGTTATAGGGTATATTTTGTGTCGAATCTAGAACTTCTTCATAGTTCAAGGGATTTTGAAATAACTTGGCACAAATAGTCACAATAATAAGCCGATATGTCAGGTACAACACCTGCACCCTACCTCTTAAGGTCAAGGTCACACTTTGAGGTCAAAGGTTAACAGAGTCTGTTATTTGGTATATTTTTTGTCCCGTCCATTACTTCTTCATAGATTAAGGGATTTTGAAAATACTTGGCACAAATAGTTACAATGATTAGATGATATGTCATGCGTAACATCTGTGTCCCTACCTCCAAGGTCAAGGTCACACTTAGAGGTCAAAATTATAGGGTATATTTTGTGTCCAATCTACAACTTCTTCATAGTTCAAGGGATTTTGAAAATACTTGGCACAAATAGTCTCAATAATAAGACGTTATGTCATGCACAGCACCGGCTCCCCTACCTCCAAGGTCAAGGTCACACTTAGAGGTCAAAGCTTAACATGATAGATTTTTAAATTCCGTGTTTCATTTTATTTTTTTAACAAATTTATTGTTACATTTGCAGATCTAGCATTGATCATAATTTTGGACTGAATGTCCTGAGATCCATACCTCAATCTTTTGAAATAGCACAATTTTATGCTTCATATAAAACTCCCGGGGCGGGGGACGTTGGTAACTCTGTTACAAATTCTTGTAAATGTTAAGTTCTGTGTTCATTTCACTGAGATATTGTCTTCTTTGTCTTTAAACCTATACATATACATAAACTTGATTATGCTATTTAGTCCAAAGCAAAAAAAAACAACAAAAAACTAATAATAAAAATTTTCATATGTTCAAATTTTTGGATTAAATATGTTTATGTTTCTGTATTTTATTACTGTATTTTTGTAAAATAGAGCAATAATATTTTTTTAGCAGAAATATATATAATTGTTGTCATTAAAAAGTAAAAAAAAAACTTTTATAATTTTCACATGTTAATTGATAAATATGTTTTTATTTCTTTATTTTATTTATTGTATTTGTAAAATAAATTAATAATAAAATTTTTAAGCAGAAAAATATAAAATTTGTTGTCATGCTTTTTGTGTCACCTTGAAAAAGGCTTGTCAGGAGCATATTGAGTCACCTTAAGTTGGATTGACTCCAAACTTGGTATGCATGCTTCTTTCAATGACTCAAAGTGCAGTGCACAAGAATAGTTACTCTGCCTTTCTTAATTTTTGAGTTATTGCCCTTTGTAGGTTTTCATACTTTATTTTTGTCCGAGCCATTTCTCCTAAACTATAAAAGCTATGGACTTGAAACTTTATATGATGATAAATATTATTAAGAAGAAGTGCAGTGTATAAAAGCAGGTAATATGCACTGGTTATTTCTAGAGTTATTGCTCTTTGTTAATATTCATACTTTATTTTTGTCAAGCCATCTCTCCTATAGACTAGAAACTTTATAGGATGATAGATCTCAATAATTAAAATGAAGTATTTTTTGTAAAACATAAAATCTTTTAATTATCGATATTGACAGGGGCTTTTTATTATTACGTCTGTTATCTGGCTTATAGTCTCCCTTTTAAAATCAGTGACTTGTTTTGATTTGCTTGACTGATTTTTTGTATTCATCCGCGGTTATTATAAATAAGCCGCTCAACTAGTTTTTGGTACAGTTTGTATGACACGTTTTTCATGGAATGTTAAAATCAGTCAAGCAAATCAAAACAAGTCACTGATTTTAAAAGGGAGACTATAAGCCAGATAACAGACGTAATAATAAAAAGCCCCTGTCAATATCGATAATTAAAAGATTTTATGTTTTACAAAAAATACTTCAAATTATCTTCGAATTTTCCTGAGGAAGATCAAAAGATGGTTTGATGAGGGCAAGCAGTGGAACATTCTGGGTGTGGCAACTCTTTTCTATCTGTTTGCCAACATGTAGCACAAATATGCTTTGCAAACCGGGTTTTTCCCCCTTTCAAAGCAATAACATGTGATGATTTTTGCGTACATTTATTCCTCTGATATCTATTACAAAACCAAATTTTGTAATCTTCACCTCCAACAGTACTTGAATTTTCCTGAGGAAGATCAAAAGATGGTTTGGGACGTAACTGCACAAAATCTACATTTCTAAAATTCTTAACTTTGTGTCTAGCCAGCACTGCAGACTCCACATAATGGAAATCATCCCCCCAGTTACTGTGACCTAATTCAATCTCTCTCAAAATGGCAGCATAAAGTGACTTAACAACAGAAAAATCATATGAGCTATTTAGGTACATCAACTTTTTTAACAAATCCAATCTAGCTTTTGCTTCTTTTTCTCTAATCTTAGGTGAAGAAATGATTTCTAATTCTCCTGCTACAAACAAATTAAAATCTATTTTCTCAAAGGTAATATTTCTATTGACAAAGTCAAACCTTAAGGTAGAATGCGGATATTTTTGCCTATTTTTAACAGAATCAGAACATTTTGAAGTTATACCAGATTTTGTATGTTTATTACTATGTCTATTATGCTTCTTAACACTACTACTGTGAAGCCCAGAACCACCATCATCAGAGTCAGAAACAGTTGACTCATTATCCGTAGTAGAAGCACTATTATCTGTTGAAGACTCTGAGCTGACAACCCAAAGTTTTGCCATTTCCTTCCTTGTCCTTCTCCTCAAACCAGTCATTTCTCTCAAATGTTTAATAGTTAACAAATCCATACCTGAATCTCCAGCTGGAGTAGAAGAAGGCAAAGGCACCTGAAACCCAGCAGCTACACGAGGCTTCTTCGAACCTTCCTTCCCTCTCTTAGGCATTGACAGTGACGGGCCCGACAGTGATGATATGGCTAGTACTCTGCACTTCTTATTTTTGAGTTATAGCCCTTTGTTTATGATATTTCATTCTTGTTTGGGCCATTTCTCCGAAACTAGAGAAGCATTGGACATGAATCTTCATAGGATGATAGATCGCATTTAGAAGAATGTAAACCCGTACTCTGTACTTCACGATTTTAGAGTTATTGCCCTTTGTTAATTATAATACTTTATTTTTGTTCGGCCATTTCACCTAAATTATAAAAGCTATGGACTTAAAACTTCATAGGATGGTAGACCTCGTTAACAAGAAGTTCAGTGCACAAGAACCGGTACCCTCTGCACCTCTTATTTTTTGAGACATTGCCCATTGTTAATTTTCATAATTTATTTTTGTCCGAGCCATTTCTCCTGAGCAATTAAAGCTATGGACTTAAAACTTCATAGGATGATAGATCTCATTTAGAAGAAGAGCAGGACACGTAAACGGGTACTCTGTACTTCATGATTTTAGAGTTTTTTTTTTTTATACCGTTTGTTTATTATTATACTTTATTTTTGTCCGGGCCAATTCTCATACACATTAAAAGCTATTCAA